GCTGCCCATCCGACTCTGTCTGCTACTTCTTCTCTAACACTCCTCTCCCAGCATGCTACAAGCTCTTTGGCAACTGCGGTCCAATGGGGTGCCCTTCTGGCCAGGTCTGCATCAAGAACCCCATAGTAGGTTCAAGCTGCGTCGTCCCCCTCTAACTCGATTGACATCACCCAACACAAAGATCTTGACAAGATGGATTAAAAATGGAAATTCCATCAATAAATAGTCTTTATCAACTTGATTGCTGCTAAGGTTAGCTTGGGTTCTGCAGGGTTCAACGGGTGTTGTGGGTGGATTCTTCAAATATTTGTTTTGGAATCCAAGGTCCGACCCGTGATGACCCTTTGCAACCTCCAACATAGTAATAGCGACCAATTAATACATATATATGATGGGACAACAACCTCAGACAAGAGGTGAGACATTGTTTAGGGATCAACAGTACTTCCAGAAACAGATCGAGATTAAGACCAATCAGATGTTGGACAACTATCACTCAATCATAAAGATAGCAAAGGTCAATGAGAATGCACAGAACTCATCAGAGATATACGAAATGGAGACTCGTACAACTAATATAGTATGTTGATCTATTTCATCTTGAACAAGATGATGTACATGTATTTTATACTAACAAATATATTATCAAGTTAAACTCTGCAGAAGCACTGTTAAAGATTGTAGAAGAGTTGAAACAGAATATAATATTGAATGACTTTGTTAATATGACTGAAGAGGTCAGGCTACAGAGTCTTGTTTATCAGAAACAGAATGCAAAGTCAACAAAGTCAATCAAGGCCATCTCTGAGGATATATCACGATCAATTCTAGAGTTGGAGAATGAATATTACAACTCTGAGTATAAGCAACCTCCTTCCTCTTCATCCTCTTCATCCTCATCATCCTCATCAACATCATCCTTCCCCTTTCAATCGATTCAATCATCTTCTCGCATATGATATAATGATCATCATAATCAACAAATTGGTCGATCAACATATGTCAAGACATCCATCCAATCAATCAACGTCTGTCAAGACAGATGATTACATGGACCACAAGAGATAGGTGCAATGATGTGCTACCCTGAGAATCCAGTCATTCCACTCCAGACATTCTCCCTTTCCGTGGCAATCTTGCTACTCTCGGAGTCAGTTCGCACTTGGTTTCGCAAGACCACCGCGAGAGTTGAATAAAATGTGCTTGCTTTGTTGGGGGTAACAACAAGACTTGATTGCTGCTAAGGTTAGCTTGGGTTCTGCAGGGTTCAACGGGTGTTGTGGGTGGATTCTTCAAATATTTGTTTTGGAATCCAAGGTCCGACCCGTGATGACCCTTTGCAACCTCCAACATAGTAATAGCGACCAATTAATACATATATATAATACAACATCTGATGTCTGAGGAGCTAACCCAGTTAATAGTCACCAGAGTTAAGCAAGCAGGTGTCAAATGCTTCTTCTGCGGTACTGAGTTGGATATCTGGGTCTTGGGCAAACACCTGCCCGTGTGCGCCAAACTGTGTTACAATATCATCATTGATATGTTCCAGACTAAAGAATCACAGGAGGAGACTCACACGTTGAGGCTGCGTATAGAGGAGTTAGAGGGAATCATCAAGTCATTATCGCAACAACAACAACAACAACCATTTTTTTTGTTTTTTTTTTTTTTTTTACAACAGCCACAACCAACATCGTTGTCATCAACACTCACGCTTCAGCAAATGAAGACGCCAACCAAACAAGGTGCGGCAGAGAACAATAGAGAGCTGATGAATATCACACATACCAAGAAGTTGATGGATGGAGAGACTAGCAAACAAACCAAGTGCTTCCTGCATTCCAACGTTCGAGACCCAACCAATCCCAACCGGATTATAGTAGAGGCGACTTGCAATTCACCAGAGAACAAGATCGAGAAGAAGATCATTGTCTACTATGGCGACCAAAAAATGATGATGTGCAGTGTTGGACATATTACAAACCATACCAGGTCAATGCCCTATTTGAAGCTTGCTGTACCTGCGATTGGAGAACACGATCCAGAGAAGCCTATCATTGGAGATTCTGTCCAACATTGCCAGAACTGTTCAAAGGGTTGTTCTCGCATCTTGAAGTGTTGCCATCCAGACAGCACGTTTGGCGTCTTTGTATACTTCTGTCGATGGAACTGCCTTGTCGAGTATCTAACCAACAAACGAGAGAAATGGACTCAATGGTGCGAAGCGAACACCGGTATCTCCAGCAGGGCAACGATAGATATCGACGATAATGCGATGTCAACAACTACATCACCACCCATCCCAGCACCCAGCCCAGCAGCACCAAGCCCAGCAATAACCAAACCAGTGTCTAAATCAAAGGCCAAGAAAGCAGCTGCAACACCAACACCAACAACAACAACAACAACAACAACAACAACAAGGAGGAACAATAAGAGGAAGAACAATACCCTTGAAGAAGGTGAAGAATAAATATGCTGCCAGCAAGCTAAGTCCATTAACTGACAAATGCCATACCCTCAACTCTGCACTTACAGATCAATGGTTCAACCAAGATGAAGAGTACACAAGTTACTTCAAGCTCTCCCATAGTCAAGTGTCTCAGCTCTGTGAGAAGCACTCTTTTGAACACAAGGACATGCTCGTCTTCCTCATGAGGTGCCGCCACAACCTTCCCTGGTACATGATGGAGCGTGTGTTCCTATATCAATTGACAATCGCTCAGCTCAGGTACTCATTCACCAAGGTGTTCGATAGATTGAAGTCGTACTGCCATGGGTACTTCCAGGATGTGGTTCACAATGGAGAGCTTCGAGACAATCATGCAGAAATATGGAAAGATGGTATTAAGCACAATGTTCATCTCATTGTGGACGGGTCAGAGCAGAGGATTCAAGTGCCGCCACACAAGACGATCAAGGATCTTGTTTATTCTGGCAAGAAATCAATGTATTCTTTGGCAGTGTTGGTCATTTGCGATATACGTGGCAAGATCGTGTATGTAGGTAAGACAGAGGGAGGCGCCCAGCCTGACGTCTCGCTCTACAAGGATGCTGCACCTAGACTACAGGCTCTGTTCGATGAAGATATTGTCATTCTCGGTGACAAAGGATTCAAAGGAGGTCAGAAGTACTACACCAACACCATCACCCCCAAGATCAAGTCGGCTTCATTGATCGATCATATGGAGTACACAGACAAGATGATCAGAAAACGCACGCTCGATGAGCATCGCCTGCGTCAAGGAAAGGAGGCGACCAAGGTATCTAAGAAGTTGAAGGCATTGGAAGCCAAGGTCACCAAAGAAGGATTCGATGCCGAGCGTATCCTGAGAGAGAAAGATGAGAGCAATCGAATCAAGAAGGTGAGGATCATCATTGAGAATGTCTTTGGAGAGATGAAGAAATGGAACATATTGTCAGACACAATCAGATCACTTGGCGACCTTTCTGACAACATTCAACGACACAACGCACTCTGGACAATTATCGCATATTTGACCAATATGTTCCACTCCTTTGGACGAGACGACGATTTCTTTAAGGTCTAATTTATCATACAACAACAACAACAACCACAACAACAACTACAACAACAACAATAAAAATATAAATATTTAATTAACATCAGATAAGGTTTGAAAGGGTTCCCCTTGCTGTTCCAAGGGTTGTCCAGGGTCGAACCAGCTCGAACCCAAGGATTGAGACCGCTGAAAAATGAATTCTCTGCGTAACCTTGACTATCCCCTGCAGAACCTTAGCAGCAACCAACTCTCCTCCCAAAGGGCATCACAGAGACGCGCACTCAAGTCCGCAAGGTAAAGAAACAAGGCCAATCTGTTAATTGTGCTACATTAGTTATTTGATTGATTGGTAAAAATATATACATACACAAGACATTCAGCTAGAATACACACAGGATGGGAGACGCTTCGAATCTATTGAAACAGTCTTATGTATTGGTACAACAGGCTACGACTCATGATAGAAATGGAAACTACCAAGAGGCTTTAAGATTGTACCTTACTTCATTGGAAGGTTTTGTCAGTGCCCTAAAGAGTATGTCTTATACTTTATTAGATCGATTGATTGAATGATTGTGATAGATTGAAGTCTAACAAACAACGAACAATCAAACTTAAGTTGAGAAGAATGAAAGAGTTAGAGCTACATTGAAACAAAAGATGACAGAGTATATGGATAGAGCAGAGACTTTAAAGGATATTATAGAGGGAAGACAGGCTGGGCATCATCATGAACCGTATGAATCATTCATTATAATCACTATGACAACATCATGATGTTGGATATCAATACTGACCCAAACACTTTGAATCAATGCAATGTAGATGCTGTCCCACCGCACAAGGATCAAGCGTAGGTGAACTTTCATTACCAAGTGTACCAAATAACAGTCTAATATTACCAAGTGTACCAACATTCCAACCTGGAAAGAGTAAGCAAGCAACTCATTGAATGGACTGATTGAAGGGAGCAGCAGACCTAACATCGTTTATCATAGACGATTATGTAGTACAACCAACAGCACCTATCATTGAAACACCTTATATGCCACCACATCAACAGGCGGGTCGCCCAACACAGACAGTGTTGATACAGAAGATCAATATCACGTTTGGACAGACTGGCTGCAGCTATGACACACTCTTTGGCAAATACCTGGCTGGTGCCACAGTTTACTCGATCGAAGATCCTTACATTCGCGTCAGACATCAGATTGAGAACTTTGTTCGTCTCTGTGAGCTCATCGTCAAGAAGTCCAACAACCAAGGACGTCCTGCACAGATCAAACTTACAACCTCTACCGAATCCCCTGCACAAGAAGAGGAAGTTAAGAGTAGTTTACAAACGGTATGATTGATAAGTTTGATTGGATTGATTGGATTGATTGAGTGTAGACTGTGACTAACCAACCCATCAACCAAACTCATAGATCAAACTGAGTCTGATGGAACACAATATACTGTTTGATTATGGATTCTCATCAACACTTCACGACAGATCAATTGAGGTTAACAATGGAATAATGATTCGACTGGGTAGAGGACTGGATTACTTCCAGAAAGCAAATTCGAATTGTTGGTATGTAATGATTGATTGAATGAGTGGACTTGGATGATTCACTAACCTCATCACTCACTCCACTCTTTGTAGCATTGGATATCATGATATGGACTTTAGACCTTGTATGGAAACGATCATTGAGATTTATAAGATATAAGTATCCACTTATATGTGTATAGTAATAATAAATTCAAACTACTCCTATGTATATGTTTGTTGGGTAATGTCATGGTTCAACCTTTGACAAATCCTTTTATAATATATACAATGCGTAACTGGTCTATTCAAGACTTGTCCATGGACTGGTTTGATTGATTCAAATAACTAAACAGCTGTGACTAAGTTGACTTGACTCTACCTTTAGAATCCAACAACAAGGTCAACATAATCAGAGATATCCTTTGGAATGGTCATGTTTCCTTCTCTTCTAAGGATAATATCGTCAGCATTCTTTGAATCTGGGATTCCAAACTTGTGAATATGAGTATGGAACAGCTCTTGAGCCTTGGCAATTGTTGTTGTGATCTAAATATGATTAACGGATTGATTGTTAGATATGATATGATAGATCATTCAATCCAAATGAATGTTACCTTCAAGTTGTCCCCCTCCTGGCGGGCATCTAGTTGATGATGTGATTTCAAGTACTGGATAACACGATCAAAGTTCTCTTGGGATGGTCTTGTCATCTTCTCCACCTCCTCCTTTGACTTGTATTGTCCATAGTGCTCACTCTTTGGATCTGAGGTCTCCTTCAACTATACAAATTTGTTGTTTAAGTACATGGACTCCAGAGTATATTTAACAAATACTTACTTGTTGATCAATCCACTCCTTGTTTCTCAACTTCATTACAATTGTAAAGGTGATCTCACGGTTTGGATCAGCATTACCCAAGTCCTTGGTGTATTTAACAAAGTGAGGAGCAGACATTCTTTTGAAATAATTTATAATTATGTGTATAAGTTAGAGTAAGTAAACAAATAAATATGTATGTAATAGATAATCAGTTTAAATTAATAAGAGACAATGATGATGAACACTTACTCCCCTCCTATCTACTCTCTCTCTCTCTATTCGTAGCCTTCATCCACTTCCAGTCATTGTCTCTCTCACACTCACAAACAAACAAACACATTAACACCGATATGAAATGATAGACTAAATGAAGTGAAAGACATACTATTATTCCTGACCCAAATAGAATAGATGTTCATTCATTTGTTGAGACCTATTTGTCCATGGATGCATGTATAAAATTATGTGTATTAGCTGTATAAAGATAGATGATCTGTCCACACAATAAAGGTATCCTACTTTGCCCAGTCCAGTCTTTGAAAGGTCAAGAGATGCCTTCATTTGTTTGTTGTTGTAAAGGGGTGTGGTGAACATCAACCAACACACCCTTCTCTCTTCACTCTTTACTTTAACACACAAACACATACACCTACCTATGAATGAATAAATGAATGACCCCCTTATTTGAATGGGTGTGTAAGTCGGCATTGTCTGGTTGTTGTTGGATGTGGTGGCTGCCCAACAACCACATTTGACGACGATAGCCTGTTGTGTATTGCTAACAAACATCCTTTCTCTCTCTTCCCCACAACACACTCATTGTAATATAGAAGGATGGGGCAGAGTATGTACAGATGGGCCTGAAGTACTTTGAATCGAATCAACTCTAATCTAGATTGTGTCACAACTCCCATCCTTCAACAAGTTACCCACAACATGATGTCCTCCAAGGTGTTAGACGCTTGAGATAACATGTCGACGGGTCGCCACAGCAATGTCGGAGGAGGATGTCTGGTCAGCTTCACCACTATCAGCACCGGTCAATTGAGAATGAAGATCAAGTAGAGATTGCTTGGTGATCAGAAATTGTATCCCCTGTCAAGATGAGTACCAATGGCCTGGAGCCTCCCCATGCACTATGAGGTTCGAGCCTCATTTTGTAGAGTGTTCATTGATCACCTCTGGCCAAAACCCAGTCGCTTGGTAGCCCTGGCTTGTTGGTTGGTTGGTTTGAGGAACGTGGTATCACAGCACCCTCTTAATCAGCAAGTTTGATTGGATGACGGTATGGATGGCCATGATCACTGGCGAGCCCATCAAACATTCGAATGTTTGAGAACTTGACTTGGTTGACGCCCTGAGACTGCAGAACTATTAGAGTGTGCGATGCGATGTTGACAACGGTAATCAAAGGGCGACCTAGGTATATACATACTTATATCTTGTGAGTGTGTGAACGATGTCGTTTGGATAGATACTTACCCTACCCTACCTCCATACTACATACTCCAAAGAGTACTAACTATCTTACTTTGTAACACATGATATTGTGTTTAATAATTGATTGATTGAGTCAGTCAATTGTCAACGGCAGAAGTCAAACAAGTAATTATGATAGATATAACCAATCAACCATCTTTATCATACTTTATAATAATTGTAGACAACAACTTTGATCAATGGTGTTTGAACCTACCCTAGACTCACCTACTACCTATCCATCAATCAAGAAAACAATAATAACAACAGTGATCCAGTATTTAACTCATCCATCAATTGATTATATAACATTCAAGTCTCCGCAATCAACAACCATTGGTCAAATGTGATCTTGGTATCAATATTCATTCATTCATTTGTCAATAATACTATTAATCAAACAATCAATCAAACATGTAAAGTATCCAAATACAATTATCAAATATGTTTGATACTTCCATTACTGACATACATTGAATCATTCTTAGGGAATACATTAACCAACAACAACAACAATCCAACATTAATAATAATATTAATAATCAATCTGGATCAATTCCAATTAATTATCAACTTAAATATGTACCCAAGTATTCACCATTTGTTGATGGATGTAATTTCCAAACAACACCAATGGATATCAATCATAATAATCAAATGATTCCATCAATCAATGGCAACAACAATACCAATGCATATGTTATCAATCCTAATATTGGTATTGGGGCTATGGGATCACCAATGCCAATGTCTCCAGTATTTCCCCAAATACCCCAACTTCCACTCCAACAACTACAACAACAACTACAACAGCAACAACTTCAGCAACAACAAATGGTGCTCCAACAATTGCCACAACAGCCTCAACCTTATCCACAACAACTTCCTGTACAATCTCAACAATTCCCTTTATCTCCATCAACCTCAACCATCCCAAATAACCCATTCCATCATCATCTTCAGATGTTACAACAAATGCCAATGGCCTATATTATGGAGTCTGGTAGTGCGGCCACTCCCCATAACAACACACCTGTATCAACACCGGAACTTGTCCCATCCAACCAAGGTACACCGCCATCTACCCCTCACTCCAGTCCATTCAAGACCTCCGATGGCATGCCCATGGTGCCACCCTCATCCCTAGGTATCCTGGACAGTCCACGACTGGAGTCATCCTTGACCCAGCCCAACAAGTATGTTTACATCATTCACAATCAATCACCTCAATCAATCACTCACTCATCACATTCAATCAAATAGGACTTCAGAGATACCATGGTTCTGTACAGCCAGTGAACATAGTTCCAAGTCCAATGGCATACCATTGCCTAATGTGTATACATCGATCAGTGCTCCAATGTTCAGGAACTTCTACCATAACATTGAGTTCTATGTGGCTGACCCTGAGGTACAACTGCGCTACCAGAACATGCGCATATACATTGCAGACACTGTGGGTTACAGTGGCAATGCCAAGAAGTTCATCAACAAGCCACAGATCAATGAGACTGCCTTGTGCCTGGATGCCCAGGTGCTCGATTGCCAGTTCAACCCGCTGGGCCAGTGTCCCTTTTGCAAGGAGTACTTCCAGTCGCGCTTCTACTTTGCCAATAACCCACAGTGCAAGGAGAAGTTGGTGTTGGTCAAGAGCAACGTGACGACCTACCTCAAGAACGGCTACTTCTCTGCGCAGATCAAGATAATGTGTTGCTCCAAGCATCATAGCAACAACAACCTGGTGGTGCATCTATGGTTGCGTGACTGTCAGACTAATGAGGTGATTTGTTCTGCCGCCATGTCCTCATTCATCAAGCAGTGGAAGAGGAGCAAATCACCAACGGCCGCCAGCAACAACAACAACCAGAATGGTATCATCATCAGTTAACTTACTGGAGTGATTGATTGGTCCATCCATCTTGGATGTGCCCCCTGTGTATGTATGTGTTGAGGAGGCGGAGGTCAGACTGGCTCCCTCGGCCTTTGAATGTGTCATAGGCTAGGCCTATTGATGCTGTTGCTGCTGTTGTCTAGACCACCAATGTATATTATAATGTGCTATACTCTCTTTCTCTCTCGTTGTGAGCCAAACAACTCGCTTTTGTACATCAATAAACAATCCTCCTGCTTGCTGACTCAACAGCATTGCATGTATATATCCTTGTTAATAAGAAGTGTATCATCATTGTGTCTGTAGTCAGTCGATCAAGTAGGTATGTAGGAAGTCATTGAAGATGTATATAACAAATAAACAAAGGATGTATTGTGTTGGCATGGCGATCATGCATGCCAATGAATGCATCTCGTCCAGTTCTTTTGGGGGAGTTCGAACAAACACACCGTTTAGAAGTAGGCAATTGGGGACTCAGCAGTCTGGTTCTCCTGGATGGAGTGCAGGGAGAAGTGCTGGTGCAAGTCTCTGAAGATTCTGACGTGGATGTATCCATGCTCAGTCTGAACCTTGACAAAGAAGTTGGTTCCGGCAACAGTCTAATAAAGTCATTGTGTTGTTGTAAGTTAGTATCTATGTTGTATGTACACATAACAACAACAACAACAACCAACATACCTGGGTGGCGTATGAGACTGGGACCAACTTGCTGGCAAAGTGGGCAAGCTTTGGGTCAGCCTTGACGGCAGCGACGGCAGCGTTGGCATCAGCATCAGCTGGGTGGGTTTCCTTGATTCCTCCGAGAGTCATTTCTTATTTGATTGATTGATTAAAGTGTGTATAAGTAAGTAATATAATATATGTTTGTGAAGATTAAACAAGTAATGTAATGATATGAATGGAATGGAATGAGTGAGAGTGTGGGGAATGGAGTGAACCCCAAGTTTGGGATCTTCACTTTCCTGAACCCACCTCCACAAGAATGAAAATTTATTTTTAATTATTCTTCCACTCCAAAATCAGACAAAGATATTTTTTAATTTAGGTGAATGAACTTCACCTGCAAATATCATCACAACTTTGTGTTCATTCATTCACGCCACACCTCTTTTTTGTTTGTTGAACACACAATGACAACAACAACAATGAATAATGATAACAATGATAATATTTGTGTGGTGAGCAATCGAGATTGTTATCCTACAATTATAATCAATGGTATGTTGTAGACTACACAACATCTTAATTAATTAAAAATGTTAGGTGCTTAGAAGGTCAAGCAAGCAAAGTAATGCAAGAAAGTAAGCAAGTCAGACAGGCAGGCAGGCAACATACAGACTGGAAGACAGTAGACTAGACAGCAGACAAACGAACGATCAAACGTGATCATATGATCACTAATCCAGATATATATATAAGGTGGATGGAGTGAACTAAGTTAGTTCACTTCCATTGTCGATAACCATACTTAACGAACTCTCACACACTCACTCAAACAAACAAACAAACACAACTCACACACAGACAGACCAACTCAGTTCATTGATCAGGTGTTGGTTGATGAGTGTGATGGTTGGGGTTGTTCAATCAAACAACGATTCTCTGTTCTTTTGTGTTTGTGTGTCCTCAGCTCATCGCTGCTGATGTTCCGTGGGATCTCTATATCCTCATGGGTAACAACATCGATGAGTATATGGAGGGACATGAGCAGAGATACACACTCTCACACACACTCAGGTATACCAAAGAGTGAGAGATATATAACATTCAACAACTTTAGGTCATCGATATGTGTACTCTTGTATGATGGACCGGAAAGGACGACAATGGAATGGTTGTTATGTTATAACCTCTTTACTGATTTCGAATTCCACACCTTCACATTCTAACACATACATATATGTTGTTGTTGCTATTGCCATGCTTCCAGCAACATCACCTTAAGGTAAACATCAACATCACTCAATATCAATCAATCAGATCATGATCAAGTTATATTTTTTGGAAATCAATCCATTGATCAAATCAATTCAAATAATTTAGAACAGGAAATCAATCAATCAACCAATCTCAAGAACTTTGAACCGGCAGCAATCACCTTGACAAAGACGACCACTCCACATCTCATCCCGACCCAACCATCAATCAATCAATCAATCAATCAACAACCAATCTCAAACCATCAGTCGTCTCCGCTCGACACTTTGATCAATCACATAAAGAGACTCTTCCCAAGTTTGTTTTGAAAAGGTAATAATAACATCATGCGCTCACACCCAACACACGATCACAAATACAATCACAAACATAACGATGTTTTTTCAACGTGGTTAAATGAAGCTTTGTCTGAATGGATGCGGCCTCCGCCTCACCCCCCTCCCCATGTATCCATCCATCCAACCAACCACTTGGACTATATTATTATTACCCACCAATCTAACTGACCTGGGATGGATGTTCCAGTCGAGGGAGTAACAACGGTCTGGGTCTACGCGAGTGTAATAATAATCAATCACACAATTCATATCCTTTCAATTCCAATCATTCATTATTATTATTATTATTATAGTTTGACCATTAATTATCTATATCTCTCAAATACGTATTCAACAACATTATTATCATATATCAAACAATCAAACAATCAATCAATCATAGTAGTAGGTATCATGATACTCTCATATTAGAGTGAATATCTAAACACATAATCATTTAAAGTTTAATCGAATCAAGTACTGTTGCCCATACCCTCTAAACATATATACATGGTCGACAACAACACCTAATAGATAACCCCGACACCACTTCCCCCTCAACCCATCAATCAATCATTATGTATTTATGTGTGTGTTTATGTGTTACCACCACTCTGATCAGATTCGCACTCCCATCAAACTCACACTCACACTCACAATCACTCATCCCAACCAACCTATCACCAAAGGTGTACACGTTCATTTACGAACATTCACCACACTCACCTCACTCATCACACTGCCATTGGAATGATTGATTGATTGACAGATAGGATCACTGGCATCCAGGCTGGATGGCTGGCTGGCTGGAGTTAGTTGGATGGTGGAACGGCTTGCACTACATAGCCACTACCCATTAGCAACATAAACTTTATGTTATATATGTCTGCGATGTACGCGTATGATGTGATTGATTGATTGTTTGTGTGCCACCATCAATCAATCAATCAAGATATCTGTTGCAACTGTTGTTGTTGTTGTTGTTGATTATTGTTATTATTATTGTTGTTGTAGTTGTTTGTTTGTGTTGACATCCATCATTCAGTCCATCCATCCATCAGTCAGTCAGTCCTTCAATCAATCCATCTAACCAACTGACCACCAACCAATCAATCAAACATTCATATCATATCAGTCATCAATCAAACAAGTCAAACGTACTTACAGATCATTTGCGGTTCAAGTGTAGTTAATAGCAACAGACAACAACCAAAGAAAGAAAGAAGGAACAATAGCAACAACAACCATCAAACAAACCTCACAAGTGATCATCGATTAGATGTTGTTATAACAATCATTCAATCAATCACACTCAAATTTATATATATTATATATATACTCTATTTATTTATTATTATTATATTATTATAATAACATGGACATGGAAAGGACCTTTATCGATAGACATCTATGTCCAGGTAATTCTGGTATGTTTCCAGCACATCCAGGATGGAATCATCCAACTCCCACTCACTAACTCAATCAATCAATCAATCACAATCAATCAATAGATGCTGAAGGATTACCAGATGGTGCCAATGCATTTAGGATAAATATCGATGACTTGGAGTTTGGACCAGAGATTGGAAAGGGCGCCTATGGCAAGATATTCAAGGGAGAGTACTTTGGGTATGTTATCTCGGGTCCCCGAGACAGGTTAATGAATATACTTGTACTGATCCAACTCTTACCATTAATAGTACACCAGTTGGCATAAAGGAGATATCATTGTCACCAAAGGAATCACATTATAAGGACATGGTCAAGTTTATACAGAGAGAGGTGGCCATGCTTAGATTCTCTCATCCTAATTTGGTCCAGTTCATTGGTATCGCAGAGCGAGCTCAATGCATATATATAGTGACAGAGTTTGTTGCCGGAGGCGACCTGGCATACTATCTGTTCAAGAACAAGGAGAGCAACACACTGTGTCCAACAACACCCGAGCAGCAACAATATTGCGACAGACTTGTAAACAAGAGGATGAGCATTGGAGGTGCGAGTGATACACTGGCAGGCGACAACAACAGCACAGAGAGACTGGTCAACATGAGTTGGCCACTGAGGATAAAGATTGCGTATGACGTTGCATGCGCCATGACTTATCTTCACTCGCGACAGGTCATTCATCGCGACTTAAAGTCCACCAACTTGTTGGTAGGCGAGAGCTGGAGGATAAAGGTCTGCGACTTTGGCTTTGCCCGCACTGCCAGCCCACTCAGCAAGGCCAAGCGCATGACAATATGTGGCACGGACAATTGGATGGCTCCAGAGGTGATGCTTGGCGAGGACTACAATCAAGCATGCGACGTATTCTCTTATGGCATTGTGTTGGCCGAGATCATTACAAGACTGGAGATCACTGGATTGATGAGACCATTCTCACTCAAGTATGGCCTGGACGTGGACGTCCTCCTGCCTCTGATCCCGAGGGACTGCCCGCCCCCATTCCTCAAGCTGGCGTTGGACTGCACTGAGTACGACCCACTGAAGCGACCCACATTCAAAGAGATCACCGAGCGACTAAAGAGCTTGACCAAGCGCCTGTCTCCCGCTTCTCCAATCCTTCCACCACTGCGCATTTTGGCTCAAACTCCGCTCAGCTCTCCCTTGCTCTCGCCACGTCTGATCAGACGGCGCCAAGAGGCTGCCTCACCACTGTCCATCTGTGACGACGAGTCAGACATTGAGTCGGACGACGAGTCATCCTACCACCTGGAGCTCGAAGGTGGCGGCGGTGGCGTGGGATGCTTCAGCGGCCGCTTCACACTGACACACAGCAACAGCAGTGGCAACCTTGTGATCAACCCGGTAACCAAACGAATGGGATACATCTGTACCGATATAGAGGTGTCATCAATCACACCACCCTACGTCAGCAGTCCCAATCGTCAATCACCCGTCCACTTCTCACCAGCATCGATCAGCTCGGCCACCACATCAAAGTCACCATCACCATCCAACCTCTCACCATCACTCAACCAAGGTGTCTTTGTTCAATCACCTGGACAATGTAGTAACAACAACAGTAGTAGTAGCAGTAGTAGTAGTAGCAGTAACAGTAATAATAATAGTAATAATAGTAATAGTAATAATAATAGTTTGTTACTCAAGTCACCAAAGGCCAGATCACCACTCAGACATAGTATGATATCAAATGATATGATGTATCAATCGACAATCACATCATCATTTGGTAACTTTATAGTTGACAAGGATCACATTGATCAGTTGTCATCCTCCTCAATATGGACACCGGTAGTGTCAATAGGAAGAACAGCACTTCTAAACACACCATCATCATAATAGTGACAAGTAGTAACATTACAATACCTTCCTCCTCCTTCCCTTTTCGCCTCCTCAATCTCGATCATCACATGTAAATAACATCGACACAGATCACATCACTGGACACTCATACCAGACAACAACAAGTTCACATATGTATACAAATAAACTACAATGATCATAACTCCATCAAATATATGTCACGTGATTGAATGAGTGTGAGGTTGGAAAAGAGACGTTCGAGTTTGCAAAAAAGTGATCAGTTCCAGGTCTTTTGTATGTCCATCCAACAATCAATTAATCAATCAATCAAACAATCTAACAAACAAACAATGACAGATATAGAAAGAGAGTTCTTACAACAACAAGGTTGCGCATTATCATTAGTCAATGTGATAAATGTAGACCTATATCAAAAGAAGAATGTATATCGTTATGTAAGTGAAACCTCAATCATCTTATAAGTATACTAACTTTACTAACAAATAATATAGTTCCCTCTATTCTATAGATTGGTGAATTGTGAATGTATTATAATGAGTAGTACAAAGATACATATGGAGGTACCATTCAGCACAGTGCCCAAGCTGCGAGAGGTCTATTTGAGGAACTGTGTGTTTGTAGACAAGCAAACATTGTTTGACACTTTGCTGTCTTTGAAAAGGGTAAAGACTCTCCAACATATATGTCTGGAGGGTTCGGTGGTCGAGCCAAAGAATCATCCCATTGATATTGCAACTATAATACCAAGGGACTTTCCAAACTTGATATATTACAACTTTAAAGGTAAGTTGGGTCTGACCAGAGAGAGGTCCATCATTCTTGGAATGTAGTCAACACTCATTCATTCATTCGTTCAGAGTTAAAGAGTAGGAGGCAAGAACTTGAACTAAGCAATTGGGATAGGGAAGAGATTGAAAGATTGAAGGAAAAGTACCAGTTGAGTGATAAAGAATATGACAATAACAACAACAACAACAACAACAACTACATGAATATTAAACATGCTCCAGGAAGAAGTCCATCACCAACTCCGACACCAGTTCCAGCTCGAGCACCAACTCCAACTCCAACACCAACTCCAGTTCGATCTCCAACTCCTACCCCCTCCAAACCAATTATTAGACCAACTTCACCTGCTCCACAATCTTTGGCCTCATCAGCATCATCACCATCAGCAGCTGTTCAATCTAATGCTTCACCAACTCCAATCAAATCGAATCTTAGACCTACTTCACCTGCACCTCAAACATCTCCAACAACAAAAGCATCAAAGTCTACCATACCAGTTACAATATCCAAGGTTTCTTCATCAAAGTCGACTTCCCAAGTTTCTTCAAATAATCAAACCACCTCCAAACCAAGGTCGCCGACTTCAACCATAGTATCATCCAAACCAACTACGACAACATCGCCATCTAAACCAAGATCACCAACCTCAACTATTGTATCATCCAAACCTACTACTTCATCGTCTACATCATCCAAACCAAGATCACCAACCTCAACTATTGTTTCTTCCAAAACAACAACTGCTTTTAGACCAACCTCACCAGCGCCACTTTCCAACAAGCCAATCATTAGACCACCATCCCCATCACCTACCTCTGCCAAACCAGTCTCGAGTTCTAGAATCTCGACCTCTTCTCCTTCATCACCTGTCACATCCAGGATCAAGTCTACCACCTCATCAACTCCATCTTCCTCGACATTATCAAAGGCAACATCTCAACCGGATGCCCCACCATCTCCAATCAGACCAAGGGCATCAACTCCAGTATTATCACCAGACATTAGGTCCAAACCAAAGATGATATCACCTTCCAAGGAGAGCAAAATGTTGGCAGACTCATTGAGTATGATGATCGATTCATTCAGTCTTGAAGAGATTGAAATGGTCCAACAGCTATTGGAACAAAAGAAGAAACAGTTGATGTTGGCGAATGGCCAATAAACGATTTAGTTGGAGAGATATTACATTCATTCATTCAATCATTCATGTATGTATCAGTCAGTCAGTCCATCTATGACCAATCAGCTATCTGTCATGTGGACCCTTAATGATGTCCTTGGAAATGGATAGCCTTCGCCAGAACTTTGGGCTGTCCAAGGCTCTGCTAAAGATGGATTTCGGCTCTACCTTGGGTTGATGCTCTGCCACATACTGATCGTGCTCCCTGATCAACTGCTCGACATTGGTCTGACGCAACTGGTCCATGATCTGATCGTACTCCTCCTTTGTGATGATCAGATTCTTGCGCAGCTCATCTTGCTCCTCGTGTGAGAATCCAATCGTGGCAAGGTAGTTGGGCACTGATCCATAGGTTTCATCCACCCAGCTGAGCATATCGGCCATGATGTGGCGAGGCGACTGTACAAACTCATCCTTGGTAAGGCCGACCTTGATGAAGTACTTTCTCATCTCGGCCAAGTGTGCGGCTAGGTTGCCCCCTGACTTGGAGTAGTCCTCCACGACCAAGTCACGTGGCACACCCAAGCAAGACAGCAACAAAGCTGTGACCATACCAGTCCTATCCTTTCCAAGTGAGCAGAAGTACATAATAGGATAGTTGTCCTTGTTCTTGAGTATTCTGAATATCTGAGTGATTGATTTAGTAAGTATCAATGGACTTGGACATGAAATGTCAACTCCAACTTACAGTCAATATCTCCTCTTGAGTGTAGATTAGGGTTAGCTTGTACATCTCCAGCATGCCAAGATCATTGAGATGGGTCATCAACAAGAGTGCACCAACTTTGTCATTGAACAACAGGTATCTCGATACCTTGCACTTACTATATATGTTTGTTTCATTGATTGAGTTAGTGATTAAAAGAAACGAATGACTGAGTAAAAGACACTAACAGTTGGGCATTGGGTGGCGCAGTTTGGTAGACACCTTCCATGAACATTCTGTTGTTGACTAATGGGATACAGTATCTCTTCCTTTGTGCACCGGAGGAGTGTCGCCTCATCTTGGCCAGGTCGGACTCTGGCACATTCCTATTGTATATCCTCCAGATGATGTTGTTTCTCTGCTCCTCCATGAACTTCTCCTTGATGCCCAGACCCAAGGCAGTTGCATCAATGACAGTTGTTGTAGTAGCAGTTGTAGTAGTCGTTGTCTCTGACACATTGATTGTAGGCATATCATTGATAATCTGATCAACAGAGCCATCTGTATGTGATTGTTGTAATGGCGACGACTGTGAATGTGCCAACGACTGTGACTTTCTCAACTCAACTGTTGATGAAGTCGTTGTAGTCGTTGATGATATGACAGATGTGATGGTTTGAGGTTGTTCGGTCGATAATCTTGGACTGGCATTGAATGAGTTGATACTCCTGTTGAGTGGAGACTTGATCTGATCACCCGACTGACCCAGATGTGATATACTGTGACGTCTTGATAGCTTGGGAGCAGGAGGTGTCTCTGGGGCCTGTGGTGTCACAGTGAAGTTGTTCGACTCATCCTTTGGTGAATGATTGATTGATTGACAACCGGTTGAAGCGGGGATAGATATACTCTCCTTATCCTCCTTCTTAATTGCAAACATTAAGAAGTTATCTTCAAACCTCTTCAAAGGTGATATAGTCTTATTCTCCCATGATGTCCTAAAGTCAATCTTCACATATATGTATGATTATAGGTTGAATTGGTCAGCTAAGTCATCTAACTGTTCTGTCGTTCCAAGAAATACATACTAATGTCTTTATGGACAGTGCTTCCAACAACCAGAACTCATCACTTAGTGTTGCCTTTGTTGGTGATGCTGTTCTATTTACTGCACCTGGACGAATAACCAATTTACCGCTAATGATAAGTTATATTAGTATTTTGTATACAAATAACTATCAATTTATAATAAATAAAACTTACTCTGAACCTTGAATAGGCATTCCACCAAGATTTCTAAAGTTTAAAACTGCTTCCAATTTGATGGCTACAAATCATGGTCAATCATTAAATATTAGTGTTATATATTGAGGAGATATAAGTTTCAAACTTACAATGGTCAGGAGTAACATTAACATTTGAGGAACCTACAACAGGCTCCATCTCCTCAAATTGAGGAGTTAATGAATTAGTCATTTTATTATTATTATTAATATTTTATTTGATTATCTTGTTTGTAGATAAATAATTGTTATATATATTATGCGTCATTCATGCTTTAGTGAATGTCTATCACTATCGTCTAACAATGAAGTACTCACAGACATAGTCTATGGAACTAAAGAATCTTAAAATGGTAATGTTCCCAATTAAATCGATACCAAGTGTGTATTGTGTTGTTGTCGTTGTTGTTCAACATTGTGGTGGGCTAGGACAAAGGGTCGACAAGACAATGGTCATCCTGTCTCCCACCCACCAACTTGGTTGTCTTAAATAGGTAACGATTTTATACAATTATTAAATATTATTGGTTAACCTTTATCTCATCAGTCCAATAAACTATTTTAATGAGGTGATCATACATCATCATACTTTATCATTATAATTATTATTTATTTTGAAATAAATATTTATTTGTTCAAGTGAAGTTCGAAATCATAGGGATGAGCTCTTCATGGGGTTTGATTCAAGATCATCTTCCTCAAAGTTGTTTATGCAAAGATTGTGTAATATATATTAGTGATAGTGATTGATTGATTGATCGATTGATCGATAATATATAATGTCTTCAAATGCATTATTTAGTAGTACCAATGCAATGATGCAACAACAATCATCAACAACACAGAATACACATCAACAACAACAATATCAACAACCAAAGTTAACACCAAAGATATTACCAGGTAGACTACATAAAGATAATAGATGTGCTTCAGATTGGAGCTGGCAGAATCTGTTGGCCTATGGCTGTCATAGTCATGTGGCCATCATCGACCCTGCCTATCTCAATCTCGTTCAGACACTGGACGAACATCGTCATAATGTCTGTTTGGTGCGTTGGTCACGCGACACCATCAGCGGCGCCGTCAAGCAAAGCGACGCACTGGCACAGCAGCAGCAGCAGACAGCAGCCCCCGGTATCGACCACTATCAGCTCATCGCGCCAATGGCCCGTCTGGCATCGGCAGACACAGGCGGCACCATTATAGTATGGGACGTCCTGGCGGGCAGCGTGATCCAATCGTTGGGTGCCGAGCATAGATCGCCACACCCCGTCAGGGATCTTCAATGGCACCCAGAAGACAACAACCTGTTGTTCTCAATCATGGGCGGTGCCATCACTCTCTGGTCTGTAACCAATGGCTCGCGAGTATGGCGTCGGGATCTCTGTGACGCACCCTGTGTCTCGCTACAAGTCGACCCATTCTGCAACATCACGACAAAGCTGTTGGTGGGCGCGGCCAATGGATCGGTGCACTCTGTCTGTGTATCTCCGTCGCCCGATGAGGACTCTGAGCATGGTAGCAGTGGAATCAACATCAACTTTATCAATCGAATAACAAGCAAATTGCTCCCGAATGGGTCTGGCTACGCGGGTGGCAGTATATCCACGTCTCACCAAGCATCGACCTCAACTTCATCTGGCTCAGGCTCAAATAGTAATGGACCAAGCTTATCATTATCATCAAGTAGCTCTTCAACGACGACATCAAACAACAACAAACATGTACAAACACCAACTGATCTTATAAAGATCATCTACTCACCAATCACAAAGAACTTTGTCTACTACGTCTTCCCTCGCGAGATCATCGTGCACGACATCACCTCCAATCAATCATTTGGCAGCACAGCACTGGATCGTTCGAAATCCAGTTTCAACATGGTAATCCTATGTCGAGAGAATCCAAACCTAATGTTCTCACTTCATGAAGATGGAAGGTATGTCATATCTTGGCCTGTATCCCATCCGCCACCCATACAACTAACACATCAACAACAGCATCACATCATGGAGCAGGAAGTATATCGATGTGACCAACACTCATAGTTATGAACAACTATGTGTCTCCGACTTGTCACACTATCACATGAAGAGCAAGAAGAAAGGTCTGCCACTCTACTCAATCACACATCATCCATTCAACGAGCAGACCCTACTCACTATCGGTGGAGATGGTATAATGTATGTATGATTGATTGACCATGTCCCAAGACTCACTTACTCACTCATTCAATCACTCAATCAATCGAAGTTGGAAATGGGACTTCACATCAGAGATGTTATCTGGTGGCGCACAACAGTTCTCAGCAAGACTGAGTAGTCTGTCGGTAAAGCCATTGAATGGCGTGGTTAAGCTTGGTGCATCAGGAATGTCAGACTCGATATCATCCCCAATCTCATCAATGGCTGTATATCCATTCGCCAATCGCAACAACATGTCATTGTTGGCAATTGGTACAGTCAATGGTACGATTCAACTTGTCAACGCTACGACACTCAAGGTACAAAAGGAGCTATTCATCTGGCAGCAGCCTGTATTTGGTCTGCGCTGGGCCTCACCTGGCCGAGTGATTTGCTACTCATACGAGGAGGTGGAGACAGGCAAGGTATTCCACAATCGATTGGCATTCGTTGATCTGCGCTCGGGTAGGGTGCGCGAGATACGTCAGGTGGCCGCCAACGAGACGGCTCCCATCCGCGGCCTCAAACTGTCCAACTCTCGCAAGTTCCTCGTGGTACTGGTGCGCGACCGTCCCTTTGAACTATGGGAGATGAAGCGATTCACTTGTCTCCGCTCATTCAAGGCCTTCTCACATGTCACCGGACTTGAGTGGGTGCCCTCGTTGGAGGACAGCGAGGTGGCCATCTCCCAGGACCCCACCAAGTATGAAGCCAAGGAACAGTTCATATTCTTCACATCCGATAGCACGCAGATCAAGTGCTGTACGATCGAGGGCAACTCCGTGACGCTGAACGACATGCCCATGGAGGGCTTCTCGCCACTCAGTGCGCTGGGCGGCAGCGTGACACCTCAGCTCGCTCACGCCGTCAAGCGCGACCTTATGGTGGCAGCCGATGTCTCAGGCGCCATCAACGTGTGGAGCAGTGAGAAGAAGCGATTGGTCTCATCATTCACCACGAGCAAGGCGGCCATCAAGAAGATCAGGTTCTCGCCCTCGCCAACAAGCATCGAACTGCTCGTTCTATTTGTGAATGGAGAGTTTGGAATATGGGATGTGCTGGCGGGCGTGCGCACCGCGTCCGGCACTTACTTGTCCGAGCGCGACATCAAGGTTCTGGACATTGAGTGGCTGTCCGACTCCAACCCAATCGTCGTGGCCTCGGACTATTCAATTCGTATCCTGGACAACTCGCTCTGCCTCTCCAACTCGCCCGTCAACAACACCATTGGAGGCAGTTCGACCACGTCCACAGCCAACATATTCGAAGCGTTCCTGTACTCCCCGCTACTCCTCTCTCCATTCTGCGCGCTGCAGCTCAAGAACTTGTTGCACGCCCAACGCTCCTCGATCCAAGCCGGCGCAGCCAACGAGCAGAATGACGCAGATTTGAACAAATCACAAGCGACCTCAATGTTGGTGATGGACCAGTTGGAGAAGAACACTCGATTGCTATCACTTGTGGACGAGCGTCTGTTGAGCTACCTTGCAGGATGCACTACAGCCGAGGGTTGCCTGGCGATCGCACAGTTCTTTGGCGATCATCACATGATCAAGTTTTGGAGATTGGTACTCTTTGCCCTACAACGTTATAATGATCGCACACCCTGCACATCATTATATAACACAGAGATCATGACATATTATAACGAGCTTCCATCCAAACCACCAGTGCCAATCAATGAACCAACATCCACAGTTTCATCGACCACAGCCACTCCTTCAACCTCAACAACTCACCCATCCACGACATCAACGGCAACAACTTTATCGAATAACAATGCTGCTGGTTCTGCACCTGGCTCACCGCTGATGGCCACACCGACAAAGGATCAATCAAACAATCCATTTATCAACCCAACTCCATTGACAACAACGACCACTACAACGAATGTACAGCAGCAAAGCACACAGACTCAATCACAACCTCATCCACAGCCGCATCAATCACCACAGCAGCAGCCACAAGCAAAGAAGTCATTTGCCTCGTTCTTTGGAGGACTGACACAGGGTCTGACTTCAAAGGCATCAATACCCAACAACAACCCAGCTCCAAAGAATGATCAGACAATGCCAAAACAATCAAACAACGTGACTCCTACACCAAACAACATTACCTCAGCCACTCAATCCACCTCACAGAACCAAACATCATCCTCCTCCAACCAAGCAACATCCTCGACATCCAACCCTTTGGCAGCATCTCAAATGTTCCACTCAGTGTCATCACAGCTTCAATCACAATCACATTTTGATTTCTTGGGAGCATCGACAACGATGGCAATGACAGCATCAACATTGAGCAGCAGTGGAATCAGTCCTGCATCATCCTCGTTGGCATTCTCTGGTGCCGTGAGCTTTGCTCCAGCCACAGCTGGGGCCTCATTGCCAGTCTATTACGACCTACTCACAGAGCCATCAGTGTTGAGATCGTCAGAGCTAGATCGAGCGGACATGCACGAGCGCAAGAAGCCTGATGCCGAGCTGACACGTAGATTGATCGATCGTAATATATCACTGGGACGATCACATCGAGCCATCAACCTCCTGCTGGACACCACGCCAGACCATCCCGACTTCTACATGTTGGCAGTCAAGGCTAGTGTCATTGCAGCATCGATCTCACAAGAGTACTACCAGAGCACAATGAAGTTGTTGGCCAACAACCTTATCGCCGTGGGCAAGCTGGATGAAGGAGTACAGTTCCTTTGCCTCATTGACAAGTCATTGGACGCATGCAAGTATCTGCAGGCGGCTGGACGTTGGAATGAGGCTGCCATGTTGGCCAAGACTAGTCTGCGCGAGGAAGAGTACATGGTAGTGTACCGAGCGTGGGCACTGCACTTGGTGGAGCTGAAGCGATATGAACAGGCAATCGAGATACTTTTGTCAATGGGTGACTTTTGTTCTGTTATCCAACTGCTCTACGAGAACAAACAATACGATGAAGCATCACATCTCATTGAAGCATGTGAGCACCATTTTATAACAAACAACGAGGATGGCAACAATGATGATAGTGGCGACCTTGGATACACTCCAATCACTCAACTCACAAGTGGATTCACAATGAAGCAATTGGTGCAGATCATATTCAAAGAGTATGGCAACAATCTTCATCAGATGGGCAATATCCAAGCATCACATCACTATTGGAAGAAGTGTGGAACAAGGTTTACATCATCATCATTCCAGTAAAGTATATATACATTTAATTGTAAAACAACAACAATATTAGAACTATTTATTACAAGAATGTAGAGAGGTACTCCACGGTGGCCCTATCAGACCATGACTTCCAATCAGTGTAACTGATGAAGCCCAGATGACTTCCTCTCTTGGACATTGCCATTATAGTGTTTGGATTGTTCTTGATCTCTCCAAATGGAAGTGTCGATATATTGTACAATGGATCATCCTCAGCATTGATGAACAGGATAGGTTTGTTCAACTATATGATGAAAGTATGTGTTAGATATGATAGAGTTGATTGTGAGGTACATCAATATAATAATACTAACCTTTGGAATATGTTTGTTTGTGCTTGCTTCCAAGTAGTAGTGCTTGGCTGACTCATATCCAAACATCTTGTGTGTTACCAACTCATCGAGTTCGTAGGTATACTTGGCAGCTTGGATCTGCTCCTTTGTGGCATACTTGTCAATTCTATCACCAAACTTGTAGAACAACTTCTTGATGCTGGTTGCCAATCCCTGACCATAGATGTATCCTCCAAGGAATGAGTTGCTCAAGTGCTTCTGGCTCTCGTACAAACAGAATGGGTTTGAGATTGAAACATGAGCCAAAAATGGAGAGTCATGTCCGTGAGCACTCAAGTAGTTGACCATGATCACTGATCCAAAGCTGAATCCAACAACAAACAATGGTGCATTTGGTATCTTGGCCTTAATCTTCTCAATGACCAACTCCATATCATCAATCTTGGTGCCACAGTATCCAACATCAGCCTACATTTATCAAAAGAATGAAATTAGAATATTGAAGTATCAAACGGTTAAGTATTTATACATACAGTAACTTTGTTTCCAGCACATCCTCTGTTGTTGAACACTACTGTGCGATATCCTTTGGACTCGTAGGCATGATGAGCAAGGTATTGGATATAGGGCTCGTGGGAACCACCCGTCAATCCATGACATACCAAGATAGTTGGAGTGTCCTCGGCAAATTCATTTCCAAAGTCGAACCAATCAAGTGATACAGTACCACCATCTACTGGATTAACGACATCCTCTCTATAATATAATAATAATAATTATAAAATTAGTATGATCGTATATATTTATGATTTGGAAATTGAATTAGATAATTACCTATTTCTTTTCAAATTCAATCTCTTGATCTTGTAGGTTGAGTAGTAGACCATAACATGTGGGTTGTATAAGTAGTATGGAGGGTCATAGGTTGCGGCATTCTCTACCGATGGTGCATCAACATCATCCTTGCTCTCAACTTCATAATCAGACTTCCTGTACAAGGATGGACAAAATTCCAATCTGTTGAGATGCTCCTCATTGGTCTCGTCAAAATACAGTTTAATTTGTGACATTATTAAATAATTATTATGATTATTAATATTCCTTGGTTTAATTATAAATATATATACAGTCTACAACTTATACTAATTGTTAACAAATGTATTTATACTTGAGGGTTACCCTTTGCAAATTTTAATCAGGAATAGTATTGTTGTCCAAGATCCTTTGACAAGATTGGCGAAACTGGAAAATCGTTCAAATCGTGGGGGTTCTTGGGACAAAAACTCCCAATTTGGAGGTGGATGGCAACAAAACGAAGGCAGTTCCCAAACTGCGCCACACTGTCGGTCGTTCCATTGTTTCTTTCAGCTACAAGTGGATGTCAATGATGTGAAGTAACAGTACATACACTCACTACACACCACAAACATGGATGCGTTGTTAACGATAATAATAATAACAAGTTAAATTTAAGGGGGTTTTATACATCTTCGTGTAGATGCACCTCGCCTTCCTCCATGATGGCATCCATCATCAAGGTTTCCTTTTGTGAGTTGGAGTAGGAAGAGTTTCCGCTGCGTACCGTAAGGTCGGTGACCGATCGTCCCAGTGACAACAGTATGATCAAGGTTCCAATACTGACCGCTGCGCCAAAGAAGAAGTCATAGTTTGGTCCAATCTTATCGAATATCAATGTTGCCCATAAAGGCCCAAGTAGTCTTCCAAAGCTACTGGCCATAATGAATATAGAAGATGCATTTTGCTACAAATGAATGAGTAAGGAGGGAGTCACAGTGAGTCAGCAACAATCATGATGATGTTCACAGTCGTCCAAGAACTTACAATGTGAACAGTTGACATTATCTCAAAGAATAATGATATTGAACTGCTAACTGATACTGGGAAGCCAATGCAGACAAGGATAACACCGAGCATGAATCGGACAATGTTGGGAGATGGTGATTCTGGTACGGTTTCATATTTAACAAAGGTCCATGTAGTCATTAATGCAAAGCCAATGAATACAGTGGCCAATGATCCAACGAGTAACAAGTATCTATTGTCCACACGTCGTGAAAAGTATGAGGAGACGGCACTTGCTACGCCAACGCCAATGAAGAACAAGGATATCTGTGTCAATGTCCAATTGTAGGCACTATATCCTCCAGTGTCAATGATATAAGGTATGAACATTGTCTCCATAATCATTCCAATATTATACAACAAGAAGTGGACAAAGCATAGAGCATACAATGTGATCCTCGGCGACAGTATACAAGACTGTTGTTTGAAGTAGTTCCTATACTGACCCGTGCTCACCGGAGACTCTAGAGTGATGTGAGGTGAGTCAGTATGATTGATTGATTGATTGATTGAGGCGTGACCTTACCTGAGGGATACATCTCATTCTCATTGTTTGAAATGGGTCGATCAAGGTTTGGACCTTTGTTTCTGTCGAGTGACTTGCCGGCAATGCCAAGGATGAGTGAAGCCAATGAGAAGAATGCAGCCATCCAACCATAGAATGATATGGTGCCATAGTCTTCAGACACATTGAATGTCTTGTCCATCTGGAAGTTGGACAACAGGGCAATCAAAGCAGGTCCGACAATATGCGCCAATGACACTGAGTTTGATATCCATGCCAGCCTACTCATACGAGTCGCCTTGTCATTGTTCTGAACGAGGATGCATTGCAGGCCGACCATATTGCCTGATCCAACACCTGCTATGAATCGACCTGTTACAATAACTATCTGTTTGGGATATGATGCATAGAGGAGATCGCCCAACAGACATAGTCCAGCAGCAATACAAACATGTGACCAATGATCTTGACTACGCTCTGACATCCTCGTGAATGCCTTCTGTCCAACAGCACAACCAGTGTAATAAGCGGCAACACTAACTGCCATTATATATAAGCTTTGTACATTCTATTTGTTTGTTTGATTGAATGAACGAGTAAGTGATTGAATGATTGGTCGAGGGAGGCAGTATGTTTACTTACAACCAATAAGTATGGCCACATTGTAAGAGTTATTATTGCAAGTGATAGGTTTGTACATAGTATTATACCTAGAGCGCACCAGAAACGTCTTGGTGTCTTCCTGCCGACCACTTGAGAGTATGCTGAATCATAGTCATATCTTGGGTCTACTCTTGTATTTGACTTTAACAATACTTCTTGTTCAACTATATACATATTGTTTGTTTGTTTAATAGTTTATGTACATATATGTATGTATACTACATGTATAGAAGTAACTAACTATCACTCTCTTTGGGTGACACTCGTCAAAACAACTTGCCCTCCCTCATGATGCTGAACAACAACCTCCATGAACCCACCCTTTGAACAGACGCGAGGATGTCAAACATATCAGTCACTCGCGAGATATCTTGTTTATGTATGTACATTTGTTATACAGTTTATTTGTCCTTGATTGAAGATGATGATATGAGGATGGATGATGGACATGATTGAATGATATGAGAGTGAAGTGATGGATGATGGTGAATAGTTTACTATTATATAAACTACGATGTAGTGCTCGTCGTGTAGAGCACAATGCAAGTGTCGTGTCGTGTAGTGTAGTGTAGTGTCGTGTTATGTCATCGTGTATGTGTATGTGTATGTGCAAGTTGATTAGCAGTGACATTGCTAGTTGGTGCTGGTTGGAGAGTGGTCAGGTGATTGGTGATACTGTTGTTGTTGCTTCATCGTACTCTTTGTTTGATTGCCGCTACTGCTTGTTGTTGGTGGTGGTCGATGTGCTACGCTGATGCCATTGTTGGCCAGTTGTGGGTCTTGTTGTGGCGCTGGTGAACGTATGTATGATGGCACCGTCTGGTTGGCACGCCCCCAACTATTATTGTTGTTATTGTTGGGTACTGAATAGTGCTGATGTGGCTGCTGCTGTTGTGGTGGTAGCTGCTGTGGATAATATTGAGGAGGCGGTAGATACTGCTGTTGAGAATGCTGCTGCTGCTGTTGGTGTGGCTGCGGCTGCTGTGGTGTCTGATGATGGTAGTGGTAGGGTACCGTGGTGAAGATTTGAAATGGCGGTGTCATCTGTTGGAAGTATACATTGCCATTGACGTCGTAGAATACGTAGTAGCCACCACCACCTGGTTGGCCATAAGGCATTGAGGGTGGCTCCAACATCTCGTTGGAAGGCACCTCCTCGTCGCTAAGATACATTGGCATAGGCTCTTCTCCAGCATGCTGCGCCACCACATTCGAAATGTGCTGTTGGCCATTACTCGACTGACCACTGGCGCCAGAGTTCATAGACACTAGTTCGGACTTTCTCATTGCGTCGCCAACGTTCATCTAAGTTGTTGAGGGCGAGGGCGAAGGTGAGGGTGTGAGTTGGTGGTGACCTGTGGTGGCCTTGTCCACGTGGACAATGATGTATGGTACATACATTCTTCCCCATGTAGGTAAGGTTTGAAGCACTCTTGACTTTGGCAACACTGTCTTCCTTCTCGAATGTGACGAATCCATAACCTTTGGACTTGAGCGTACTCCTGTCTATTATTATTTTACATTCGATAACGGGGCCAAATGTGGAGAAGTACTTGGTCAGGCCAGCTTCGTCGGCCCTCCAACTAATTCCACCAACGAACAACTTATTAGGATGGTGTCCATTGCCGTTGACATTGCCGCTGCCACTACCATTGCCAATACCGTGATTATGATTATTATTATTATGGTAGTTGTTGTTTAAGTGTTTGGATGACAATGGCGAAGAGTGTGGCGATGAGTCATTTGAGTTGAATGTAGGAGTAGACATTGTAATATTAGTTATTTGTATGTTTGTATGTTTGTATTGAATGAATGAATGAATGATGGATCAGTGCCTAAGGTGTCTGATGTCACATCAAGTAATATTGATGGCTTAAGTAGGATGAATGAGATTATGTGAGTGTGTGCGAGGGTGCAGCTTGATAGATAGCTTGATGAGCCCTCAATGATGATGATGATGTTGTTGTAGATGGTCAACAAACTTAAGTTTGTTAAAGATAGATAATAGATTGATATAATATATATAAATATATAGTATATGTATGTAAGGTTGAATAGATTGAGAAAGGAATAATAATAAATTAATAATAGTAAGATATGAAGGTTGATGGTTGTCCGATCTTCTTGGTGTGAGTGAGCTCACTCAAGCTAGATTATGGTATGACTTAATGAATGACTAAACTAATCTCTCTCTATTGTTGAACAACAACACTACAAACAACAACAACAATAACAAACAAACTTGACGCTACACAGTTCATTCCAACAATAACAGGTGATTGCTCTATGCTTAGAGCTTTGTTTGCCAACTCACGATGTTGATATTGTTGTTGTTGTTTCTATCTCTCCTTCCTGGGGGAAGGGAAGCCTGACGCGTTGTGCCCACGCACACACGTGTCTCTGACTCGAATGCCCGTCTGCCAGACAGCCCTCACATCACTCACCAACTCACTCTCTCAATCTATTCCATTGTTGGTGTTGTGATGATTAATTAAAAGATTTTAAAAGAAATGTTTTCACAAGATGAACACAACCAGTTCCCACTTAAATGAGAACAAAGTTGGAAGCGCACCCTGGTAGTGGGTAGCGTGTGTTGGTTGGGGCGATGTCGTTTGTGTGTGTGAGGGCTACTTCGAAACTATGTTGTTTGAACTTCTTCAATCAGTCGATCAGATCATGATCGTAACAATGCTATGTTATCAAAAATGATAGATACTGTCTATGTTCATTCAATTCCATTGTTTGATGATGACGATTGATCGCGAGATAGTGCTTGTCTTCGTTGATTGAATGTGTCCAAAGGTTTGTCAAACTTTGGTATCAGCTTGATATAGTCCACCTTTAGATGGAATGGTCCATCATGTCGCTCACTTTGTATGAATCCAATCCTATCAATACATTCCAACTCCATTGGATTTAGATCCAATGATACACTACCCTTGACAATCCTATAAAAGTCTGTCAAAGGTATCTATTATTGAAGTTGGTAAGTCATACAATGTATATCAGTTTGATGTGTACACCTACCTCCATCTCCTCCCATCTATCGGGGATTGTTGTAAACATTGACTTGTAAACCATTCTATTGTTGCCCTTCTCCAATATACCGATACCATATGCTTTTCCCTCCTTTAAATATGTTTGATTGATTGATTGAATGAGTATGATTGATTGAATGAGTATGATTGATTGATTGAATTAATGATTGAAATTACATACTGTACATGCTCTGATCTTGATAGACTTGTAATCGCCAACATTGAACTCAAATGACTTCTCCTAATGTATATTGATGTGTCAGTGACTGTGACATGCACGGGCAAGGTATACACACTTACAGGTGAGTATACACCAACGTAACCAGACTTTGTAACTTTGGGATTGTCTTGAGGCAGTGCTAATGATAGATTACCCTTGAACGATGCGTATCCTTCAGGGTTCCACTCGAATGACCCAGTTGAATATCCACCTATTTGTTTCTTATCAGATATGATTGACCAGTTTGCAACAGATGTCGGTGATCTGAATGAGTATAATACCTTGTCCTCTATAGGTTTGAGGAAGTCAAGTGTAACAACTAATGTATTGTAATGCAATGCAGTCGGATTGTTTTGTTGGTTGGTTGGTATCATATGATCACAAGTGTGTTCAATCACATCATAATATGTGATATACATACTGCCACGTATCAATGTTCCCAACTCTTTGATGACCATCTTATTCTTCTTCTTTAAGAGATACCTTGTGTCTGTGTGTCTGTGTGTCAATGAATGAAGATCTCAACTTCGAGGAAATGAAGGTATACCTTGTAGATTGAATTGTGGTCTCGTTCGTCTTTTCATTTAAATCCTTAACATGTTCACCAGCATTATTATTACTTGTTCAACATTATTTATATATATATCCGGGATACAGATAATAAGATGGATGCAGTTCGACCATTACAGATTGAAGTTGATGATGTTGACTTGATTGACCGAGATAAACCATCCACTTCAACAACATCCACCTCGTCAACATCTTCATCAAAGTCAAAGGACTATAACAAAAAGAATAAGAATAAGGATAAGAAGAAGAGATCCAGAGATGATGAGAATGAAGAAGAGAGACCTTACCAAGTTGGCAATGGTTGGAAGTATGTGTCCACACTCACTTCCTCGCTCATTCATTCCCTCGCCGACTCACTGACGCATTTAATTATATTTAGATCTCTTGAGATATCATTGGCCAATGCTACATCGGCAGCAGATAGATCAAAGGAACGTCGTACAACAGATGGTGGCACTCAGCTACCTGTTGTAATGGGCGGTGCATTCTATGAGAAGAAACAGGAGTACTTTAATAAATTCCAATCACTATTGGTGAAGGAAGCCAAGGCCGAGAAGTCAAATATTGAAAGGCGTCTATTACGAAGCAGTATACATGCTTTGTGCAATAGTGGACTGGCCGTGGCTGGCATGACTGCACTGGTCTCTGGCCGTCTGTATGGCGAGTTGATAATAAGGTTTGTGGCCAACGATCTGGTCGACCTGAAATGGGACGTTGGCGACGACGAGGACATTGGCTCACTCAAACTCAAGGTTGGTGAACCTGTCATTATAAGTCGAGTTGATCCCCTCAAGGATGACGATGTCTTCGAGGGCATGCTCCTCGAGCTATCCTCCAAAGCACTCAAAGTCTCACTAAAATGTGATGACAAGGCCGACCAAATGGCCAAGATGTTCACAAACACCAAGCCATGGGTAAGGTATCACAATGCTCACGAACATGTCACCGCGTGGCCTGGCTAACACTCTCTCCGCACCACTCACACTGGACACTCAATCAAACATCTAAAGAGGGTGGACCATGGAACCAACTGCATAACGATACAGAGGATGATGGATGGTCTGCATGCCATTCAATCAAGTCAGTTGTTGTACAAAACAAAGTTGTATGATATTATAACAGGACATCTGAGGGGCGGCACAACATTGGAGGCAGCATGTGCCAAGGAAGTGGACATTTACAAACTTCCAACACAGCGCGCCAAGGGCGAGATGTTGCCACATGACTTTAAGGAGTGGAAACTGAACGAGACACAACGCACTGTGATCAAGAGTTGTGTGAAGAGGCGAGTGTCATTGGTACAAGGACCACCTGGCACGGGAAAGACTACGACGGCGGTCAGTCTCGTGCGTCTGCTCATCTATCTCAAGTATCAATGTCAGAGCTCTTCAAAGATCCTGGTCACGGCCTACACAAATGCTGGCGTCGACAACCTTCTCGAACGATTGTTGGCGTGTGGCGTCAAAGTGTTGCGACTGGGCCAGTCATCAAGTGTTCGCGCCGACCTCCAATCAGCCACACTCGACTACCGACTGCAGGAGGAGATGCTGCAGTACAAGAGCAGACAGGATCAAGCGGGCATTGAGCGAGATGTCAAGTCGAGATTGATCGCCGAGGTCGATGTGATATGTACGACATGCATATCGGCCGGCCATCCGATGCTGGACGACGAGACATTCCCCATTGTCGTTGTGGATGAGGCCACCCAGGCGATGGAGCCGGCCATCCTCGTTCCACTACTCAAAGGATCACAACAGTTGTTCTTATTTGGTGATCAGAATCAGTTGGCGCCAACAGTATGTTCCAATGAGGCACACCTTGGTGGACTGTCCCAGGGACTATTCCAGCGACTTGTCAAAGAGGGCATTAAGCCCTATCTCCTCGACATCCAATATCGCATGCACTCTCGAATAGCCGAGTTCCCATCATTATGTTTCTACGAGAACAAACTAAGGGTATGTCTCCTTCAATCAATCATTCAATCAATTACTCATTCGATGAATCACTATTCCTCCAATATTTAGAATGGTATCGATGATGATGATAGACCAATTCCAAAAGGCATTGGATGGCCTGTCCAGGATTGGCCAGTGGCCTTTGTACACATCAATGGAAAGGAGAAGATCCAGAACTATTCATATTCCAACAAGAAGGAAGCCAACAAAGTAGTCGAGCTATTGAAGTGTTTGGTAGCAGGCAACAAGGATCTCAGAATCAATGTATGTTGTTGGGCCATCACTAACTGGAATCATTCCAATCACTCACTCACTCACTCGCTCACCCAATCAAACATAGGACATTGGAATAATTACACCATACTCATCACAATCAAGATTGATTGTTGATAAACTTAAAGCGGAGAAACAGTTTGCCAAACAATTACCGACTGTGGCAACAGTGGATTCGTTTCAAGGTAGAGAGAAGGAGATTATAATTCTGTCAACGGTCAGATCGAATGAAGGTCATCGTATTGGATTCCTAGATGATTGGCGTCGACTCAATGTCTCACTGACAAGATCAAAGCGTGGACTATTAGTAGTTGGCAACATCCATCATCTTGCCAAATGTCCATGTGAGCAATGGTGTAAATTTGCCAAATGGTGTATTGACAACAAGTTGGTAGTGGATGAAGATTAACACTATCTTTTACTAATTAGTACAAAGTCGACTGGATTACATAAATAGAATATGCTTCCTTCTCACCTCGGGGTGATGTCTCGAGACTTGGACCCTTGCCTTGTGTGAGTGTGTGGTGTGATGGGTCACGAATCAATCAATCACCCAGGACTCATTCAATCAATCACAATAACAACGAGATTTATATATAGTTTACAATCTACTAAATCGATGATAATGGATCAATTCAATCACAATCACACCGTATTTTATTAATTAATTTGATTTTAATTAACAAACGAGTGATTGATAGTTGTAAAAAACACACGATATGATGAGTCCAATCTATTATTTGATTGGGCATTGGTCATGCCTTCGACTTACTCGTTATTCTAATCACCATCATCAAAAAACTTTGGAAGGACTTTGTGTGGTCCTCGACCCCACCACCACTATAGCCCCCTTCAATACCCATCAGGCCCACGCCATCTACCACAGACAGATGATGTTGGTTGGACCAACCCACAGACGAACGCGAGCGATTGGCGTTTTGGAGTTGTTGGCTCATTTTGGACTAAAATATCGTTCTAATACAGTCGTTTCCGCACATCAATCAAGCAACTCTTTAGACTTGCTCTCCAACTTGGTGGAGCACTCTATCTAACAAAGACGGAGATAAACGCGCACACACACAAACACACATACTATTTATATACTTCTTACTTTATTATTTATTACTTAAGGCCTAACACCAACACCAATCAATCGATCACATTGACACCTCACTCATTCACTCACTCATTCACACACACTTCCACTCTCGTGACAAAGGGCCTTGGGCTATTGAACGATGATGGATCACACCCACCATCAACACCAACATGGATTGAAGAGGAATGGTTACCAATTCAATGACGAGAGCAATGGTTCTCTAAGTGATATTTCAGGTTCATTGTTAAATTACAGACCTACCTTGTCCAATCCATCACCATCATCACCATCACCACCCTTGCAGTCCAACAACAGTAACGTCAACAGTAACAGCAACAACAACATCCATAACAATCCAATGTCAAGTTACTCATTGTTTAACAACAACTATGAAGCATTACCAAAGCATCTCTATGGCTTGTCCAACAACAACTCAAACAACAACTCAAACAACAATAATAATAGTAATGTAGTAGTTGGCATTGATGGACTCACACCACAGCGCGATCCAAAGATACAGAGTAGATATGAAATGACATCTTGGAAACAGTTGAACCCATTGTCCACAGGCTACCAACAACCTCTGGCACAATATCATCAACACACCAACCACAATAACAACAACAACTTCCTAAGTCCACGAGGTGGTGGCGAGTACTCAATATTTGGATCAGTGCCAGAGGTGACCAGAGTACACTCTCCACCATTCCATCATCAGCTACCACATCAACCTCTTCAACAACAACAGCACCAACAACATTATCAACAACATAATCATCAACAACAACATCAGAGATCAGTGCCAACATCGACATCACTGCCCAACTTCTCAGGTCTGGCAACAATAGAAAACAAGGTGAATGAGTTGGACATGGAGCTGCAGAACCTTCAACATCAACTTCAGTTCATCCAACATCATCATCAACATCAGCAGCAACAGCCTAGCCAACAGCAACAGCAACAACAACCAGCCAACCCAATAATGGCCATGGAGAACAGGATACACAACTTGGATGTCGAGCGACAGCAGTTCCATATGAGGCTACAAGCAATGAAGAGCACAGTACTACATCACAACAATAACAACAACAACAATAACACAAACGGACATAGCAACAACACACCATTAAGTGGCAACAACTCGCACTACCAACCCGGAGACAGCCCCGTCAATCTAAGCATTCTCGACTGTAGCCCAATAGTGTCGCCTCGACTGGCTGGCGGTAGCACATCGCCACAGCTGGTGATTGACCAGTCTGTGCCATCGCCACGACCACACATGCCCAACTCGGCCCACCTTTTCTCACCTCCACCTCTGTCCTTGTTGACCGTGCCCAATGCCTCTCCCACCAAGTCCGTGTCGCCGCCACCCTCTGTCCACGTGACGCCATTGCCCGCCAGCGGTCTGAGACAGCCAACCACCCCACCATCCACACCTCCAACCCTGGCGGCCAATCACAACCCGTACCAGACCGAGACCTACCTGCTCAGGGACGCACCATCACGATCGCTGTTTGTGGGCAATGTCACCCAGCGTCTAGAGGACTCGACGTTGCGCAAGTTGTTCTCGTCATACGGCGAGGTCAAGTCTATAATGAGCAGATGCAAGCATCGTGGATTCATTGTCGTTGACTACCATGATATTAGACACGCGACCGTTGCACATCGCAACCTCAATGGAATGGAGCTGGACAAGCGCAAGTTGGAGATATGCTACACGACGTTGAGAGACCTCAACTGCGACTTTGGCACATTGGTGCTCATTGACATGGATCCCTCGGTCAACAACGCCATGCTGCTCAGACTGTTTGGAGAGTTTGGACACATCAAGGATATGCGCGAGGCTTCCAACAAGTCGTACAAGTTTATCGAGTACTACGACCAGCGTCACGCCGTCGAGGCACTACGCTCGCTCAATCGCACAGAGATCGCCGGCAAGCCGATGAAGATCCAACATTCGAGGGCCGGATCGCTCAAAAAGCTGTCCAACCAGGCGTCAATCACAAACGATCCCAATGGAATCGACATCACTCCACTCTTTGAACAAGCCGACTGGCTCAAGAGTCCGATGCTCAACAGTCCTTCGTCCACTCCACCAGCCGGCAGTCCACCCAAAGGGTCATCATCAAACCTCAGCCTCAACAGTGGATCGGCGTCCAACAGTTTCAACAACAGTTTCAATAACAGCTTCAACAATAGCTTCAACAATAATAACAACAACAACAATAGCGTCAATAATAACAATATCAACAATAATGCCAACAACAACAGCATCATCAACAATCTCAGCAATAGCTTCATCAACAACTTGAGTGGCAGCGTAACAATCAACAGTATACATTCATCAAACAAACATCCAGCAGTACCATTGCCAGCGGGTTGGAAGCTCAAGCTACTACAACAACAACAACTTGATAGCGGTGGTGGCGTCATCACGTCTGACGTGATGGGTGGTGCCACGGCATCGCCACCATCAGCCGGCTCGTCGCCTCGTGTGACCTCATTGTCCAAGAACAGTGGCAAGAGTCCACGTAGTCCACGCGGCAGCATGAAGGACTTGATGCAGTGCCAAGAGTACATCCTCTCCATTGAGAAAGTTAAATCACGACTCGATGCCAGGACCAGTCTCATGATCAAGAACCTCCCCAACCGAATGACCCAGTCACATCTCCTCAACGTCCTAGATGAGAACTTCAAAGGAGCCTACGACTACCTTTATTTACCAATCGATCCAACTGTAAGTGATCCAATCAATAATGAGTGGAACTATCTCATTTGATCAATCACTAACCAATCAAACAATCAATCAATTATAGACCAAACATAACTATGGATACGCTTTCATCAACTTTATCGATATAGACTCAATCGTGTCCTTTTACCAAGAGTTCAACAATAAGAGAACTTGGGAGACGTACTTCTGCGCCAAGATCGTCGAGATCACTTATGCGAGGATACAGGGCAAGGATAACTTGATCCAACATCTCAAGGCTTCATTCCTTAGCATGGCCGGTGAGAATAATCTGACACCAGTGATCTTCGTCGCCAATCCAGATGGAACTTGTGGCGAAGTTGCCTTCCAATATTAGTTTGTTATAGTTAGTTAGTTTGTTAGTAAAGAAATTGCGCTTGTGCGCGACATATTTATCTATTAATATTAGAGTATGGTAGATTAAATTGAGCATCAATAGCTCCATGTTTATTCTTTCGAAGACGACTCCAGAGTGGCAAGTATCTCCTGTGAACGCTTGATCACTTGGTCTGGGATACCAGCTAGTTTGGCGCAAAAGATACCGTAGGACTTGTTGGAGATGCCTGGAAGGATCTTGTGCGTGAATAGCAATTCGCCATCGTCTTCCTTGACGGCCAAAGCATGGCATTTGATCTTCTTCATTGTGTGTGACAGTTTTGTGAGCTCGTGATGATGTGTGGCGAATAGTGTGCGACACTTGATGCCATGATAGAGATGCTCGATGACAGACTGTGCGATTGCCAGTCCATCCAATGTGCTGGTACCTCTGCCCACCTCATCCATGATCACAAAGGATTTGGAAGTGGCCTTCTTGAGAATTGATGCAGTCTCAATCATCTCGACCATAAACGTTGACTTGTCATTAGCCAGGTCATCTGAGGAGCCAACTCTACTAAATATACTGTCAATGATTCCAATCTCTGCCTTGTCCGCTGGTACAAAGCTTCCAACTTGTGCCATTATTGATATCAATGCGTTCTGTCTCAAGAATGTACTCTTTCCGCCCATGTTTGGACCAGTGATAAGCCACAACAAAGAGTCCTTGTTGTAATCCAAGTGACAATCATTTGTAATGAATGATTTGATTGAACCCTCTTTCTCCATCTTTGCAATCTCCACTGTTGGATGTCTTCCACCCTCAATGTTCAATATTGGTCTGTTATATGATTGATTGATTGATTGGTTGAGAGCGAGTGTGTGAGTAACAATGATTGATTGATTCAATGAATGACCACATACTTCTCAGTTAGCTTTGGTCTGTTGTAACCTCTCTCCTTGGCAATAAGTCCAAATGAACATGATATATCTATTGTGGCCAATACCTTGCTTGTTGACTTGATCATATCACCATAGTCCAAAGATAGAACAGTGCATAGTTGTCTGAATATTGTCTGTTCAATCTCCAATGCCTCGGACGACGCCCTGTTTATACGCTCCTCCAACTCAATCATCTCTTTGGACTTGAATCGCATGTGATTGATGAGTGTCTGTACATGTATGAATGTGTTGGGCACCTTTTCTCTATTCTGCGACATTATCTCCACAAAGTATCCAATGGTTTGATTGTGCTTGATCTTGAGCGAGGGGATGCCCAGCTGCTTCCTGTACTTTGCCTGTATGCTGTCAATGATGTCCTTGCTCTTGTCGCGTAATGTCATCGTGTCGTCCAACTCCTTTGAATATCCTCTCTGAATGAATCCTCCATCACTGACCAAATATGGTGGATTGTCAACCAATGCCTCTGATAATGTGGCCAACAATCCATCAAAGTCTGATATCTGATCGACCAGTGATTGTGCCACCTCTAGTATAGGATCATGGGATACTTTTACTTTTGATGATGCCTTGGTCTTCGTCGATGCCTGTGCAGCAGCAGCAGACGCAGCATCAGTGCTAGTCTGTAGTGCATCGATCAATCTTTGTTTGAGCATTGTGGCAGCGACTAGTGTTGCACCAATTGAAGCGAGGTCACGAGGACCAGCACGACCAATGAACACACGTTGTAGACATCTCTCCAAGTCGTAGCACTTTGACAACAGTCTCCTGCAGTCCCTAACCAACTCCGGTCGATGATAAAAGAACTCCACGGCATTCAATCGATGTTCAATCTCTTTGATTGAGAGGCAAGGTGACTCTGTATTTGTGGCAATGTGAGTCAGTCAGGGATGATCCCATGATTGATAGAGCGAATGAATGAAATGACATACGTATCCTTGAATGAAGCAACCTACTGCCGGTTGATGTGAGTGTTCGGTCGATTGTGTCGAGTAGACTGCCCTTCCTCAGTCCTTGGAAGGTCTTTGATATCTCCAATGAGTTCCTGGTGGAGAAGTCAATGAACATGGAGGTCTGCGCTGAGAATAGTTGTGGCTGATCAATGTGAGGTATCTTGCCAAGTTGAGTATTATATACATAGTTGAGTACTGAGCCGACCACGCCCAGTTGATGCTTTGTTATCGATGGGAACTCCTCCACGACGTCATTGGGCTCAATCTCATAGGCCTCGTTAAACATCTTGGCATTGTTGTCCAAGCTGAATGATGTAGCATCTTGAACAGTGACATGATAAGGTTTGAGCAATGTAGACAGCTGTTCATTGGCTGCCAGTGACTGTGGCAGCAATAGTTCGCTAGGTGATACGCGATACAACTCACCAGAGAGTGAGTCAACTGATTGATTGTTTGGATGGGTAAGGTGAGTGGGCATGCCAGAGAAGCTGATTGGATTAACATACGTGTTGTCTCTGAAACAAAGAAGTGACCTGTGCTGAGGTCTAGCCACGCAAGGGAGAACAGTTGGGTTGGTGATAGTGATTGTGTTGGGGTCATGACAGAGAGTGCGGCAGGTTTGATTCCAGCTGGAGCTATTGACATCAAGAAGTTGTTGTTGAATGGTTGAAGGAACCTGTCTTCAAACACTGTGCCAGGTGTTACACTGTGATGTTGATGGAGGATGAATGAGTGAGGGAAGGGCAAAGGTAGGGTAAGGGTACACTTACACTCGCACAACATCACGCTTCACAACCTTGTTGCCGCTGACTGCTTTGCCATGCTTGATCTCTTCAACTTGGTCGCATACGGCCACGGTCTTTCCATGTCTGATCAACTTTTCGATGTAGGTGTCGGCAGCATGTTGAGGGAAGCCACACATTGGTGTGTCGGTCTTGGCAGACTTGACACCTCTAGTGGTCAGCGTGATGTGTAGCAGTGATGATACAGTGACAGCATCATCAAAGAACATCTCATAAAAGTCACCTATTCTGAACAGCAATATATGATTGGGATACTTCTTCTTGAAGTGATGATACTGCATCATTGCAGGTGTGAGTGCTGCACTACCCGGATGTCCATAATCCAATGTTGGTGGTACATCCTTTTCGCCATCCAACTCTTCGGTCATCTTCATCTTGAGTCTCTTCCTCCTTGCGATTGATTCTTCAGAGTCTGTCTCCAAGACGTCAGGCTCAGTCTTCACATTCACAACAGTAGTCTTTGCTGTAGCAGCCACCGTTGTTGATGATGTTGTTGTTGTTTTGTTCACTTTGATCCTATTCCTCGATGCAGATAGTACTGTTGCTGCTCCTGTTGCTGTTGCTGCGGCTGAAGTGGATGCATGTCTGATGATGCCGTTTGCAAAGTGATGATGAATGGGTAGTCTTGTCCAAGACAGACGTGTCACTGTTTGTAAGTGATAGCAATGTCTACTTAATGCTGACAATACCATCTTGATCTGTCGTGCTATCTGTATCTGTTTGAGATACTTGCATGCATGAGTCTGAATGAATGAGCTTGAGTGGGGTGTGATGTTCACTTTTGTGGTCGCGCGACCAGACTTGTCAAACTTGGACAAGACAGGTCCTGGTGATATTTATTTGAATGATGTGATGTGTATTTACAATGTCATTATTAGGCAGGTTATTAGATGACACAATATTGATCCAACAAATGTTTGGCCAACTCTGGATTATCCTTCTTGTACATCAGTGAAAGGTTGAATGCAGTCTCTGCCTTGAGTGAATATCTGGCCTCACTCTCCTCCTTGCACTGCAGTACCTTGTTATAATAATCAATGGCCAAGTAGAATATACCAAGTTGCTGTGCTGCCCTACCCATATTATAATATGCTTCCTGAGTCTCTTCTGGAAGTCGTCCACTAAATAAGATCGATTGATTGATTGGGTGAGTGAGTGAGTGATTGATAGAGTGTCCATGGTTGATAATACATACTGCTTGTACTTGTAGAGGAATGTAAATGCTGTTATGACCAACTTGTGACGATCTGGTTGCTTCCTGCTGGCTGCCTGATTGAGTATGGTGATGCCAATGAGTAGGTTGAGAAGTGGCTCTTTGGAATTGTACTTGTAGGCCTTGAGGTACTCGATCAGTGAACACTTGGGCGTGCTGTGCATACTAAAGTTGCCGGCAATAATACGTATTGGCAAACTCTTTGGATACTTCTCCATCAACACGTTGAGGAATGGCTTGTTGGAGATATAGTAGTCGCCCTTGGACCAATTCACCACCTTGTTGAAGAGGTTCCAGAGTCTGTGGCTGTAGGGCTTCCTGTCACAGGCGTACTTGAAGTATCTGAATGCCAAGAATGGCTTGTCCTGCTGGTAGGCTATTCCCACCAGGAAGAACTTGAGCTGATGCGAGTATGATGGATTGTTCAACTTGACATTCTTCAAAGCATATCTAATCAACTGTGCTGCTTCATCATGTCTTTGTCTGGCGCACAATACCTTGGCCATCTATATTCATTCATTGATTGATCGATTGGGAGGGAGAGGGATGGGTGGAAATGGAACCATTCCATGTCAGTGATCAATCATTCAATCTAGTGATTGATCGATACTTACATCATTGACCAATTTGAAATAGTCATCCTCTTCCATCTTCTCTGCGAATGGGATGTTTGGACGATCGGATATCGTTCGCACATAGGTGTATTCTTTCCTGTTCTCACGCTTCTTCTTGTTGTAGTAGGCCTCATTGAGGGCAGCAGCCAGCTTACTAGGATTGCGCAGTCGTATGTCGTTTGTAGAGCCATGCAATAAAGCCCTCGCAATACCAAGATACTGTGGAATCTTCTTCAGTGCCAAGTAATCCTCGGCAATCTTTGTCAACTCCCTAACGTCCTGCGATGTCAATGTCTCCTTCCTCGACTCCAAGTCCTTCAAAGTTGAATTATATCTCTCTTCCTCAGTCTCATCATCTCCTGCTTGTGTGCCTAGATTGATTGATGGATTGAGTGAGTGAGTGAGTGAGTGAGCCATCATCGGACGAGCTTGGACAACATACCATCACCTGACTTTAGATTTGTCAGCAAGCTGAGGGACATGTCATATTGCCCCAGCTCCTTGTATATGTCTGACAACAGCAGGGCAGACTCCTTGAATGTCGGGTCATCCTCGACGGCTATTATGTTTGATTGATTGATTGATTGAGTGAGTGAGTGGGTGATGCGCGCATATAGGACGTCGAGGGATCCAGCGATCCAATCAACAACATACCAATCTCTAGATACTTGGAGGCGGTCACAGGGTCATGAAGGTCCTTGTATATCGATCCAACATAGTATAATACTTGCTTCTTCTCGAACTACATTGATTGATTGAGTGAGTGATTGATTGAATGAACGAATGAATGAATGGTCCACTTACATTGTCAGATCTCAACAATGCCAAGAACAATGGTAATGCCTTCTGTAGCATGTTTAGCTCTTTGAGCTTCTCACCAAGTGAGAAATAGATGTCTCCAATTGAATTGACATCGTTCTTCATGATCTGTCGATAGCATACATCGCCCATCTTCTCCTCGCCCATTGAATAATAGGCGATGGCCGCATTGAGCACGATGTCCAGTGGTATCTCAATGTTGTCGGGGAAGAGCGCGCGCACTCGCGGGAAGAAGTCCACGGTCTTTTCAAACTCGCGCGCCTTGTTATAGAGCTCCATCATGATGTTGAACAGGTCCAGGTCCAGCTCAGCAAAGTCCCTGCCAAACTGATTGTCCATGGCCGCCTCCACGATCTCGATGGCCTCATCGAGCTTGTCTAGAGATATCGCCACGCTGACCAGGTACGTGATTACAGAGGGGTCTTCTGGTCGCAGAGCGTGCAAGGACTTGAACCCAAGGTAGGCCTTGTCGTAGATGCCCTCGTTGGCATAAAGACACGAGAGGTCGTAGATTGACTCAAGGTCCTCCTTGTCCTGTCGCAGCACTCTCTTGTAGCACTTGATCGCCGTGGCATAGTCGTTGACCTTGACCGATGCCTTTGCCGCACGCTTCCAGAGCTCGGGCAAACGACCACCGACCTCGGCGGCGAGGTACAATGCCCACGCCACCTTCTTATCATTGCCCATGTCCTGATAGATGAGTGACATCATCGTGTATGTTCTAGGATATCTAGGTGACAACTCCATCACCTTAAAGAATGAGTCCAATGCCTCTTGATACTGTCCGGCTGTATACTGTTGCATTCCCTTCATAATAAGTTCTTTTGTCTTCTCTGGTAGTCTAGTCAACTATACATTGATTCATTGATTGATTGATTGAGTGAGCTAGTGAGTGAATGATGTGATTGAATGATTGATTGACATAGATGATCATACTGGATTGCTTTCTCCATCCTTCTTCTTTGATTTCTTCTTTCTAGAAAGTCCTGGTATATTGTCAATTTCAAACTGTGCAGGGAGCTTGCTACGTGAAGACGCAGCAGCAGAGTCTATACGCATATCCAAGCTTGCGAACTCCTCGTCATCCTCAAACTCCTCCTCACCAAGTTCATCAACATTATTATTATTGTTGTTGTTGTTAGAGTCGTCCTCCATATCTATCTATATATTATCTGTACCCTGTAATGAATGCGCGCGCGAATTAAATGAACTTGTCCTAAGTTCAACCCTTGCCCTCTCCCATTTTACTTCATCGTCTATTAATTTGAATTTTGAAGTTCAATCAATCATTTTTAGTTGAAGTGATTGTATTAGTTGAGATTGGGTTTGGATTCACTTCCAGAATTCTAGTTCTCAATTCAGCTTTGTTGTTGGCATTGAAGAGCTGGAGATTCTGGGTTTGGCGTTTTCCAAAAGGGTACCAGACCATTAAGTGCGCCATATCAGGAGAACCTTCCTGGTGTCGTATCCAGTCTTGTTGATGATTGAACAACCATCCGATATCAAAGTGAAGATGACTTGAGTATATCCAGACTCGATCCTGGTTAGGGAGAAGGGGTACGGCTCCTGAGCGATCCCAAATGGTGTTGAGTTGGTGCAACACTGTGGTAGAATCAGGACGGGGAGGGACGGAGTCCATATCTATTCTGGCCTGGACACCTTGATTAATTGGATCAATCACAATAAGTATGCAATCATCATTCATTGCTTGTTTCATCGCTGTAATCATTGGACCATCTGGTAGAGGGAAGTTGAGTCTTTTGAATACATCCCTAACATGTCTCTCATACCAAAACTTTGATACTAATTAAAGAATATTTAAGTTAATAAAATCTAAATATATCAACTATTATATTAAGAATAATTACTTATCTTGGTATAACAATGTACAGAATAATCATAAATATCAATAAATATACCTAAGAAGTTATATAGTGAGTCTTTGAAAGTTAAGCGATGTTGTTGATATTGATAATACTGAACTTGTTGAAGTTGTGAGTTATTCCTGGATCCCATGTCTTTTGATTATTATGTGATATTAATGATATATTTATCTATTATATAAATATCACTATCTATAAAAGAGATTGACTAAATAAAGTGATGAAGCTTAATAAATTATATTATAAAACTATACTATTAATTAATCATTGGAATGAATACCAATCACCTATTCAGGAAATTATTAACCTCTAAGCATTCATTCATCAGAACGACGATTCTCTTGGGTCCCACGCGGACCGCCATAAATAGTAGACTTGGAAAGTGATATTGAATGTTGGAGACTGGTACCTATACCATTGTCTCTGGTTTATATGGATTCAATATCTTTGTATCGTTGGTCAATTGACTGCAACAATTTAGGTTCAATGGTTTGTGATCCAACGGTATCACCTCCAATGATTCATGAGTGATCAGATGACGATTGATAGAGTAATCGAATGGTGCTGGTCCATTGAACGTCATGTACAACATCAAACCAGCCTCATCACCTCTAAACTTCTTGAACATTGATTTCGATATCTCCCTCTCACTCAATGTCCTATTCCACACGGTAACATCATCCAATATACCATCATATCCAGCTAAAGTTGTTTGATTGAAAAAGTAAGTGAATGTGATTGAGTGATTGAGTGATTGAGTGTGATGGTACATACCCTCGTGACATCCAACTAACATGTCAAACTTTGGCAATACTTTGAACGATGAGAAGTGGACATCCTTTTGATAGTCTAGTGCAGCATTGATGTAGAGACTGATGCGGATTTGACCTTGTGTAACTCTCTCAATTGAGACGGCAACATGTCTCCACTGACCATACTCCAATGGACTCTCACTGACCAAACATTCACCAACTTGATCCAGGCACACCTGTAAATAGTTCCTGTTGAACTCTGTAATAATCTCAACACTCAATGCCTTTGTAATTGTGAACAACCTAATTGATTGATCAATTGATTGAATGATTGATTGATTGAGTGAGTGAGTGAGTGTTAGGTGATGGGAGAGTGATGGAGGATGATTGACATACCTCATTTTCTTCATCTTCACGGGGATTAACCATGCTTCGAATGTGAAGTGATCGTCTATAGATTGAATATGATCCTTGGCAACAGTCTTGATACAACTTTCGGGCTTCATAAGTACACCCTTGAGTTGAGATGCGATGGCAGCAGGCTCACCAAACTCAATACGATGCTTATCATTCCTCTCAATCTTCTCATAGTGTTCCTACAAGTTATTGATTGATAGATTGATTGGGTTAGTGTGGGCGAGAGTGTGATGGGGAGGGCTGGAGGCTGGAAATATCCCACCCACCCAGTGTCCAAACATACCTTGACTAACCTGTCAGTGATGAGTGTGCATAGACGACATTCACCTTGATAGAAGATACATTGTTCGTACTTCTCGATAAAGTATTGGGGTAGGGGCTTCTTCTTCCAGGCAAAGTATTCGTTGTAGGCGGTCTCATTGCCAGAGAGGTATTTGAGGTATTTGCCAAGTGCAGCCGGACTCTCAAAGTCGGCCACATTGATGATACTGTTCTCTGGAACAAACTCGTTGATATTGGGCGCACCCATGTACAATGGAACAGTTCCACCGAGCAACACGTTGTACACCTTCTCTGTGACGTAGTCTGTGAGGTTGTTGTTCTCAAACGCCACGCCAAACAGATGCTTGCTCATCGTCTTTGACTTGTACATGAGCTGCATACCCAGGTCTGTCCAGGTCTCGACGGGCATCTTGTCGTCGGCGTCCAACTTGGTGTTCTGCATGCAGTTGCCGTAGCTGGCCAGCGGGAAGTGCACCATAAGGTGCTCAAGGTACGAGCTTCGGAAGATGGCACCGCCCACACCACAGTTGAACGAGAGCATGGCGACGGACTTCTTCTTCTTCTTGAAGGGCACGACCTTGGCGTCCGGGAAGTTGTTGATGGAGCCATTGGCGTACATACCCCACGAGCAGGCGTAGGTTATGGGCACTTGGCTGTCTAGACGATAGGTCATGTTGAGATCAATGTGATCGAGGAATCTAGGCTCTTCAGTGATTGGGAAGAAACGACCATGCTCCACTCCATAATTCAAAAATGTCTGGCCTACCTCCTTTTGAGGAATCGTCGGTATCTTCTCAAGATACTCATACAACAGACCCTTTGTAAGTGGTTGACCTTCCAACATAATCACATCAGCGCTAGGCAGCTTCGACTTGTCATCTATTTTTTCAAAAGTTAGTATGATTGAGTGTTTGGAATTGTTCCAGGATTGTGTGGTTGGTGGAAATATTTCGAGATCGGAGTGATTGATTGATTGGATGAGTGAGTGAATGAGTGAGTGGCTTACATAGAAAGTCACAGTGGTATTTGCATGTCTTCTCTTTGTCAATGTCTTGACCAACATAGTTGGGAGTGTTGTAGGGTCTGGTACCAAGTCCAGACCAATTTATTCCTGACCAAACTAATACACTGACTGCATTATTCCTTGAAACACTGAATCCAAGTATTATCAATATCAATAAGAATAGAACAAGTATTGGCCTACGAGGCCAGTTACGTGTTCCTTTCATCCTATACTTCTTTCTAATATGTATATATATCTATGTAATAATAATAAAGGAAAGTAAGTATGATCAGATGATTGAGTGATTAAGTGATTGATTGATTGATTGATTGATAGTAGCAGCATCATACACACAACACAACTCCAACACATTCATTGTGAGAGAGTCAGAGTTGTTGGAGAGTGTATATGTGCTCATCCAGTCAACATGTTGGCTTTACTCCAAGCCTCATGTAGTGACTTGGATGACAATCACACATACACTATCATTAATAAATACACCCTCATTCAATCAACTCCACCCACCACATTTAAACTTAGAGTAGAGTGATTGATTGATTGGAGTTGTGTTGTGTGTGTGAATGAGTTGTGTGTGTTTGTTGACTGGTAAGGAGAGGAATGAAATAAATGAAGGGGGGAGGTCATGAAATAAGTTGAGAAGATCAAGGTTGTCTTCATTTACACAAATGGTTCATGTCCAAGGACAAAGAGATAGACAGATAGATAGATAGAAAGAATAGTTTTATAGAGATAGACAGCAGAATGCTATCAACATATATAATATCAAGTGATGGACTTCTTCTTCAACTGTAGCTCATGTAATACAAATTACAACTTCCAAGAATCATATTGTAAATATTGTTTAACAAAGTATGTAATAGTTGATTGATTGATTGATTGAATGAATGAATGAATGATTGATTAACAACTATATGTATGACATACAAAAGGATAACAACAGATCAAACCAGAGTATTTGAACTTATTGAGAATGTTATAGAGAAACGTGCTGTAAATACGGCAATGAAGAGATTGATTGAGGATCACTTGGAATCACATAGAAAGGATATTGAAAGGGAGACCAAGATGTCTTATATTATTGGTCGTCGCGCTCAATTATCACAACTCAAACAAAAGAATGATACGATGAAACAAGAGATAGAGGCCGACCACGAGATGATCGAAGCAAAGAAACGATATCTAAGTTCAAGACGTAATCTACTCAAAAAGAATAAGGCTACATATGACAACTCGGACAAGTCAGAGTGTACCCTACTGCCTGAGCGCATTGAACGTATACGATTGGATCTCAATGACAACAGAATGAAGCTTACTCTGCGACGACGACAGGTAATCGACCAGATCACCAACCAGATACTTCCAATCATGCAGTCACCAGTTGAACCAGACAACGTGATCATTGTAAATATTGTAATTAACGATAAGAAACTACAGAGTATGTATAACAATGGATTGAGTGAGTGTGGCCATGGACACACCCCAATGCTGACCCTCGATCAATCAATCAGAATACCCAAAGGACATTGTATCAGCTACACTTGGCTATATTGTCAAGCTTACCGACATGATAGCGACAGTCCTCTCCATTCCCCTGCCTCACAAGATGCGATTCATTGGCTCAAAGTCGACCATACAACAGAATGATGATCCAACGTAGGTACCAACCCACCCTCGTCCAACGATGGACACTATTCATTCATTAACATGCGTACATCACCCAACAACAACAAAGGAAACAACAATACCCTTTGTACTTTAACAACAAGACCAAGACTAGAGATTATCAAAAGTCATTGTTCCTGCTTGGAGAGAATATATCATACTTGCGCTTCCAACAGGGCATTCTGACACCTGCCGACACACATTTGCACTTCCTTCACAACTTGGTCGAACTGTTGGCCTCACCGAATCTTGGCTCATCGGGTCCATTCACTTATCAACGACTGGCCTCTGGACAATCACCGGCGACCAGCACTCAGTACACCACGTTGGACGAAGGTGAATCCAAGGAGGAATGGGAGTTCATAGACTTCTTTGCACCAACACCAGATCAGCCAGAGGAAGTTGTAGAACAACTTGAAAGGATATTATACTAAAACACAACAACATCATCAATCTGTTGTACATGTACACAATCAATCTGATCAACGAGTTGCGCTGGACTTCGCTGGATTGCATTGGATTGTGTTGGAATACATTGAGATGGATTGGACGAGATTGGTATCACCCTGCACGGAACTATCTCTGGATAACTCGATCATCGTCATCAACATCATACTCATCATCATCATTGTCATCACAATCATCATGATCAGATATCCGAGTTTTAAATATTCCAAGTACAATGAGCTAGCTCATTGATGCCACAACCAAATTACAATGATGTTGGTACTATTTCCCCATCTCCATTGAAGTATGATTACTCAATGCACACCAATCACCTCAATGTGTGAATCTGGTATGATTCATATTCAGATCAACCTTTGAGGATCTGATGAATGATGATGGTGATGATG